CATATCGCAAAAGAACAGAAAAAATTGCAATGAATGGTCAGCTCAGATGTTTGCTACACATGATGCATTTTGTCAATCAAACTGAAACATTAAGTTTTTGACCAATCAAATAGAGATCTCCACCCACGTTGCCAGTCGGGTGGCTTCTTGAAGGTTAGATGCTGCCCCATAGGCGGACAGCAATTAGCAAACACCTGAGTTAGCTTTGTTCTGCCAATTTCTGCTTTTCCCAGGATCCACCTATTGCCTTTTCTTGTTCATTTTCTTTTCCCGTTTCCTCACATCTTTTCATCACTATTTTTGATTCTCCCATTTTTTATGATTTTTTAAATGTCTTTGTTTTTGATTTTTTTGTTTTATTTTGTTCTTGAGCTAAGTATTTGTTTATTTATTGCAAGTCATATCTCATCACAATATTAATCACTGACTGTTATCGCAGCCTTAGCTAAGACTGCAATAAATCATGGAGTAATAAACTTTGAGTGCCAAGCATTCAGCCTCCACATCCCAATACATATTTGGTCAATCCAGATAAACTCTCAGGGCTCAAGATGCCCAGTTTAGACATCAGTGGTTGGGAAACTGTTGTGCACAATGAAAAGACAGAACAGGAAGAGAATGGAGGGAGATTTGGATTTTTTTCAACAAATATAGTCAACTGAATATTAAGTAATTTTGCAGTCACAATCAGAACCTATGACCTATTTTTGATCTTCAACATCTAAAACCCTCTCATAAATACGCAATTAGTAAGTAAACATGTGCAAATCAGCATTCAGGCTTTAAGTTTTTTTTTTCCCGAAAATATAATTGAAGAAATACTCAGTAGTAGTAATAGGTTAGTAAATGAACTTCACATGCTTTAAACATTTGTATAAGACAAAAAAAGCAATTAATTAACATTGTTGTATTAATTTTTTCTTATAGAATTACTTTAATTGAACAGCTGATATTTATGTATTCAGTGGTTTTTTCAAAACCTAATAGGACAAAATACAATTAATACATTATATTTGTGTTAGATTTCCCAGCATCTGTGATTTTTCGGGGTCTAATTGCGACTTTTACTCAATACAGATTTGCATTCATTCTCCAAAGTTGCCCTGCAGATAAGAGTGAACGCAACGTCCAACAACGAGAGTAAACTATTGTAAAAAGTGTTTTCTAGATGAGTCACCGGGAGAAGACACCAAGGCTGTGACAGCTCCAGCAACAGCCTCAACTAGAAACCAGTCTCTTTAGCAACCAACTAGCAACTAGCAGCCCCGCTGGCACAAAGACGCAGCTACAGTTTTATCCAAAAGCGAATACGTAACAGCTAAATGTTTAACCGTTACCTCAACGAAATGAATCTCCCGCAGAAGTCTGAACCATTCCTGACACATTTACTCCGTACAGTTATGAGTCAACAGCCATTTAGCATACAGGAGAAAAGCCAGCTGCCAGGCTAACTAACGGGCTACTGAACTGTAACGGAGATGGGAGTCAGTCCCAAATACGTCAACAGCGTACAAATCGACCTGCTTCCGTCTTTAGGCGCTAATAAATCCGTTAGAACCACCGTGTATCAGAGCATGTCCAACATTATTGTGCAAATAAGAAGTGTTTTAAAAGTACCTCAGTTTCTGATTGTTTCTCCCTCCAATCTCAGCTTCCCTTCCCCCGTCCAGCGGTCACAGTCATTCCGGGTGCATCTTGGGAATTGTGGTTTTCTGTCCTTTACTGGCTTCATTACGTCATTGTTTACCGAAACTAAAAAGTGGAGCGTCTATTATCGGAATAACCCCTGAATGTTTTATTCTTCTTTGATAAACTTGTATTATGTAACTAACTGAGACATTGTCGTTGAATTTGAATGAGGATATGAATCTATAAATCGGATCTGAATTCAAGTAGACGAACAACAACAAACCCTAATTAAGGCTACAGTTATAAATTTCACAACACACAAACTAAAATTAAAATTTCATCTTTTCCCTTAAGTTTGCTTACCCATTTGCCTTCATGATGTTTATTCATGCACTTTAATTCTCTAATTGGCCCTATAATCAGATTTTTCCTCTTATATCTCATCTGCATCCATTTTTCCCCTTTTACTTCACTTTTCAGCTAAATGTTTAAACCACATCCACATGTTAGAAATCTATTATTTTACAGTTCTTTTAAAATGCTGTTTGTTTCATTTCATTAACCATGTGAAATAAACTTTTATTCAAAGCGAATAAATCCAAAACCATATAATTTACTAATACAGTAATTATGTTATTGTGTTATTCCACAACACATATCTAAAGTCTTTGGCCAATTACATTTTTTTGCAGAGGTAATGCATAAGCTAGCATATTGAGAAACTATTTAGCCTTTATTTCAGAATTTACATTTCAAGATAAATCAAAAGATAACAAACCACTTGGATTAAAAACTGAAAGTAAAAACTCAAGGTCAACCTTTTCTCAAGTTTTACTCTTATTATTAATTTTTATACTGAAGTAAATGTCTGATTTTTGCTGTAATAAATATGTGTTTACATATGAATTTCCTAACGTGACACATTTCTTTTGAATCCTCAAAAAGTCAAGCATTTCCATTTAGACAAGCAGAGCTCATCTGAGTTTCTGAAACAGACACACAAAACAATCTGTGGACACAAATAATTCGCATTCATGTAAAACAGTTGTCCATAATTTAAAGGTGTGATTCACTTGTTTAATCTATGCCTTTGAGTGGTCTCTAGGAAGGAATGCCCTGTGAGTCATACTCTTGGGGACAAAGCTCTGGTGCGCCTTATTCAGGAACTGGAAGTGAGCCACATCAGAGCTGATCTTCAGAGTGTAAGATTTGAAGACATATTTACTGATATCTGGACATCTTGTCTTGGATTGGAAAACAGCAGCATGATTTTACCACTGACTCCATTTGCTCTGCAACGTTGAAGTTTAATCAATACAAATAACACAAGCCTGAAGGAGTTCTGCTGAGTGGTGGAGTTGCTAATGCTAACAGCTAGCTTTTACAAGCCGAGACATTCTCTGCTGTTGCCTGGACACTAAACCAACAACAGCCTTTCCCGTCACAAGTTAAGATGAGTGAGTCCATGAATGCTAAGTGACAGTGTGAGGTAGCTCAAATTCAAATTGTAGCGTTTCACCGTCTATTTTCTATCAGAAGCTAATACAGGAGATAGGTGTAGGAGACTATCTTCATGGTCAGCCTACATGAAAAACTCAGAGTGACTGATTACAACTGGAAGTAGTAATTAAAAAGTGTTTTTTCAGTGTTCCACACCTTTAATCCATGACCTTTAACCTCCCTGGACATGAATTTTTATTCCATCCTACAGAGACATGGCTCTTTCATGTTGTTTTGTTTTCAGTTAATGCATTTTACTGTGTGAATAATAATTTTCTAATCATTGAAAATCTTTATACTGATTTTAGCACAGAAATTAAGTGGATGTTCCCACATTTACATAGCCTGGCCCGCCAGACTCGTCCTCTGTTTAATTCTGCACAGAGAACTTGTGCAGAATTAAACAGAGGACAAGTCTCTGTGCAGAATTAAACAGAGGACAAGTCTGGCGGGCCAGGCTAACATTACACAAGAGGAAAAGGAAAAGCTGCTTGGAAGTGAGATTCAGACACTGAGCGACAAAAAAGAGCAATAAAATAATCAAGGCTGTCATCATAGCCAAGGACTGGCTATGGCTGCCAGAAAGCTTGTTTTGTCTTTCATGTCTTCTTGCACAACGTGTTTGCACTGGATTAATTTCCCTCTCTGACTCCAGGATCAGAATTTTTCTCATCTTCTCTCATTACACAATCAATGGAACAAGCTCTGTGAATGACATCTGCTTAAGAGTTTGAGGGATTTCAAGAGGGTGCCAGTTATTTGCTCCTGGAACTTTTTTTTTTTTTAGGAAAAACATTACATAAGTCAGCACTTGGAGCTACAAAACTCAAATATGTCTTTCAAAGCACACAAAAATGTGAATCAACCAAACTGGTTATTTGTCTAGGGTCTCATTTTTCTAAAAGTCTGTGGAAAAGGTGGAAAAAAATAGGCCTTCCTTTGAGCCAGAAGCTTCTCTCATCTCTCTTTCTTCCTCAGTCCAGAAACATCCTTCAGGCTTCGGCAAAATGATCTAATTACACAACGCTGAAGTAGTAGATGACAAATAACTTCTGTGAGACCCCATTGCTACAACATAAGTGGTTCTGGCTTCAGCCGACTGCTCTGCATCCAAGAGAACGAGCTGTTACAAAACGTTTGGGATTGAACAAAACTACACGAAATTGGTAAAAAGTTACACAAATGGCAGTGATGGAGGACAGATTTCCTGTTTGGGATAAAGTCCACCGTTAACTGATCGTGGGGAGTGTGCTGCTGGCTCGTATTAAACTGCTAGATCCTGGACTCCTCACACATCTGAAAGGCCAAACACCTGTTCAATCTGGCAAACCAACAGTCTCAAAAAACCCATGAGGAAGCACAAGGACACGCTTCATGATCAACATCATCCTGTGCAATAGCTGTTGCTGTCCAAAATTGAGCTTTGGTTGGGATTCGTGATTTGTTTTAGCTGATTTTTCCTGAATGAGAAATGAATCAATTCCCAAGAAAAGGCCTGGAATAAAAATATTTTGTAGTTCAGGAATGAAGTTTTGATGTCAGTGGTGGTGGTGATGAGTTTTGTTTTAAAATTTCAACCATTTATTTGCACATGTTGTGTTGACAATAACCTTGTTTTTCCAATTTAACAAAAACACGGAGAGGAATATTTTCCCAGGATTTTATTCACGGTCTCATCCATCGGGAAAGACAACTTCCAAACAGTTTCACTTCTTCCCTGTTCAGATGAACTAAAAGCATGAATATTAGTTGTGCTACAGTCATTCATTCATTCAGCATTCACTGTAACATCAATCAATAAATAACACATTGAAATAAAAGTGCATTTTTTTCCAACATTGGAATATTTTGTGTGCCTAATCATTGTTTTTGCCAATACAGAGCCATGAGTGAGAGAGCCTCCCACGGGGTGTGCTGATTTGACTTTTAAACCAGACTTTTATGAAATAATTGAATTTTGCCACATTTTCAATGTGGTGCCCTTCTTTTTAAAGATTTCTGAAGGTGCAGATTTTTCTTGTAATGTTTTGTTTCTTTAGCAGCTTTTAGGTCTTTTAACAAAATAAGTGCAAATAGGTGTATGACACATTTTCCCAGGATCCATTGTGCTCTGGCTTGGAGTGAATTCATGCAAGGTCCTGTTTTAATTTCAAAAATAAAATAAAAACCATACAGACGTGTCTTTGTTGAACATGGCCCGTGTTCATACCCAGGGAATTTTTTTAAAATATCAAACAATCTTTTATTCTATAACAACATGTTCTAACCCAGCTCTGGTTTAGGAACAGCTGGGGTGCACAATATGTATATAATCACTGTTACATGTCAATATGTTATATGCCAAGGTTACCCCCAAAAGGTGACGACATATACTATGGAAATCAGAAAAGCACAACCTTTCTTGAATTTCCTCAATTCTATTTTTTCCGCAGCTACAAGCAGAGTTACGGTATGTGAGTATTCTAGTGAACAGAGGTTTCTGTCGTGCCACTCTTTGTTGCACTGTGCCTGATCTCAAGAGGTATCTTGTGTCAGCAGGCATGAGCCATCTCCATAGAAACATTATTAGCCATCCTGTGTCTGAGGTGGTTGGCAAAGTCCACCTGCGTCTGAGAGAGCACTTTATTTATGATGGTCTTTGGGATCCAGCCCTGCAGATGACAAAGATAAACCAAGTATTTGACAGCCTCACACGACACTTAAACACATCTGAAATCATTTATACCTTTAGATCTATATTCAGCAACCATGTGAACTTGGTCTTGTTTGGATCCTCAGCAGAAGGCTTCATCACTATACAGGTAGGTCCATTCTCCCCTCTGAAAAGCGTCACACATTAAATCAAATCTAAAAAAAAAATTAAAAAATTTCGACACCAATATCTGTCTCACACGTTAAAGATCTCATTCTCAGCTTACCTGACTACGCCCTTCTGCTCAGGCATGTTTGGGTGTTTGGTGGACATCCCAGCCAGGAAGCATGTGGAGCCTCGGCGTTTGGCACAGCGGACACTCACAAAGTCCCGTGGCCCCACCACATTGCCAGGCGTCTCTGCAGATACCTCGTGGGTAATCATGGTGTCCTGACCAATCTTTTGAAGAATCTGGGACAGCGAAACACAGAATGCTATCACTGATCTTGTACTTGGAATATCTCTCAGGTGATTTTTATCCAACAAGATATCCTCACTAAAACAGCTTTCCTAACTTGTGCTGCTGCGGTTGTCTTACTTTGACCTCTTTGACGTTAGGGTTCCACTCTCCCATTTGCTCCATGTTTTCCACAAGCTCTTCGTAGAGGTTGTCAGGATGTTGCTCCAGCACCACTTCCAGTTTAAACACCTTTCCGATTTCAGGCAGAACTTTACTCAGAACCTTATCTCCATTGGCCTGCAGAAAAAAGAGGTTGAAACCACAAAAAAGGTTCAGACTAAGAAATGTGGTCATTTAAAATCTCAGTAAATTTTGATAGAATTTCCTTTCATTTTTGAACTCACAGCTACGGTTTCGACAGTCCAGCCATCCTGTTCGCTGAGGATGCTGATGGCCTTCTGCAGTGCACTCTCCCCTTGCTTCACATAAGACATCTCTTCCTCGCTGTACGCCTCCTCCTCTTCAATTCGAGAACCTTAAAAAATGTAATAAATGGCTGTTAAAACATTGCAGTTCTGTCACAATATTCTGTGACAACATGACCTTTGTTTTGGAGTTTAACTGATCTGGTTAATAAAAATTCACCAAGAAGGGAGCTTCGCTGCCGCACTTGGCTGATCCAGTTACTCGTGCCTGGACCTGCAAGTTTGTTCAGCTCATGGTGAATGGCCACCATGGCGTTTTTCCTCAAACCTGAGAAACAAAAACAGCAAACACTTCATCTTTATATGCAATAAAAAGACATTTTGTTCAGATCTGCTTTCCATCAAACAATCCCTCTAATCCCAGACTGCATGCAGATCTCAACTGGGAAAAGATCAATCAAGAATGAAGTAAAACAGAGAAAGAATTAGGTCAAGGCAGCAGGGCTGAATGTCACTCACTCACCTGTCATGTTCCTCGTGTGCCGATAGGAGATGCCAGCACACAGTTTAAATGTTGCAGGCAGCATTTTTGGTTACAGTAATTTCAGGTGATTTTTTTAAAACAAAGAAAATAAAACTTTTAAAAAGTAATTAGATCAAAGAGTCAAAACTAAGCTGCAAATGTTCAGCTGAGAGGCAGCAAGTGCTGCAGAGATGTTTGAGCTTCTTTCTGTGGACGTTTGAAACTGCTGGTATATAAGAGAATGTCCCTCAAGGTCGTCCTGCTATCATCGCACAGATAAGCGCACGGCTCTGCTAAATGTTCCAATGGCCATCTCATCAAGGTCGCTCTGCGGACACGACAAGCATTTCTCAGAGTCTACCAAACTCTGTGTGAGATAACATCCAGTGCCTGGACACACACACACACACACACACACACACACACACACACACACACACACACACACACACACACACACACACACACACACACACACACACACAAAGAGAAAGTCTCTGACGTGATGGGGGAACCCGGAAGGAATGTCAGTGGGGCCGAGACCCTGAGTGACTCATCCATCCTCTCATGGTCCATGACAGCATAAACACTGTGGAATTCAAGGACAAATAAACACTTTACTCTGTATGACTGATATCTCAGAACAAGCCTTGCAAATCCCCAATGCCCTTGCAACCTTGTAGAAATGATGCATCTGTAACTTGAATTTTCTGCCGCTGATGATGATGTTCCTGAGCCCCTCTCTTCGTAGTAAGAGTTTGTGTGTGACATGTGCTAAACATTTACCTTCATAGAAAATTCACTGGGTACTCCAAACTAAGTCATGGCTTTTGTGTGACCTTCATCACCACCGCTTCCTTATTCTGCTCTTATTCTGCCTTTCCTGGGATCCACTGATTTCCTTCTTTCCTATTCATTTTCTCTCTCCATTTCCTTACATTTTTTTAATCACAATATTTTTTTCGTTTTAAACATATTTGTAATCATTAAAAAAATCTTTTTTATACTTTAATTTTTTTTGTTTGTTTTTATGAAGCACCTTGTGATTTTTATCTTGAGAGGCGATTTCTAAAAGATCGTTTTCTTTCTTTTTCTAAACAATACGTTTCTGGCAATCACTCATTGGCAGACAATTTCGCAAGTAATGTTTATTTGTAAAGCACCTTTCACAGAAAGAATAACAAAGTGCTTCACAACAGAAAATAATAACGCAGACAATCAGCATAAAAAAAGCTTTGTACAGTAAAACCTGGTATAAAACCAATAAAACACATACCTATAAAGCATAAAAACATAAAAATCAAGATATACAAAAATGAAAATCAATAGAAACAACAAAGTCAAATAAAATCAATAGAAGGCCTGAGTAAAGAGATGTGTTTTCGGTTGCTTTTTAAAAGACTCAGTAGTTAGTGATGGCAGAGTCAGCGGTAAAGCGTTCCACAGTGAGGGGGCCACTGCCTGAAAGGCCCGGTCACCTCTGGTCATAATATTTCGGGGCACTGCCAGTAGCAGTTGGTCTGAGGATCTGAGGGAGCGTCCTGGATTGTGGACAGTCTGCAAGTCAACAATATAATCGGGGGCCTGACCATGTGACGCTCTGTAAGTAAGGACCAAGATTTTTGTACTGAGTCCTGAAGAAGACTGGGAACCGGTGTAAAATTGTTAAAACTGATGTGAGCTCTTCTGCTGGTGCATGTTAAAAGTCTGGCTGCAGAATTTTGGACCACCTGGAGACATTGAAGGTCCTACTTGCTACAGTATGCTGTTATAGTAGTCTAAGTGGGAAGAGATAAACAAATGTACTATCATCTCTAACTCCTTTATAGAAAGCATAGTCCTGAGCTTTGAGATATTTCGGAGTTGGAAATGACTATTTATGACTAACAGATTAGCGTGGTGCTGCGTCTGCAGTGAGACAGGCACTATACCAATCTGTTGTGGTGAAAAGAGCGCTGAGCCAGAAGGTGAAATTCTCGATTTACCTGTCGATTTATGTTCCTACCCTCACCTATGGTCATGAGCTTTGGACAGTGACCGAAGGAACGAGATCATGGATACAAGCGGCTGAAATTAGTTTTCTTCGCATGATGTCTCAGCTCTCCCTTAGAGATAGGGTGAGAAGCTTGGTCATCCGGGAGGGGCTCGGAGTAGACTCGCTGCTCCTCCACATCGAGAGGAGCCAGTAAAGGTGACTCGGGCATCTGGTCAGAATGCCTCCTGGACGTCTCCCCTGTGAGGTTTTCCGGGCACGTCCAACTGGGAGGAGACCTGAAGGAAGACCCAGGACACGCTGGAGGGACTATGTCTCTTGCCTGGCAAGAATGACTTGTGATTTCCCCAGAAGAGCTGGCCCAAGTGGCTGGGAGAGGGAAGTCTGGACATTTCGACTTAGGCTGTTGCCCCCACGGCCTGACTCCGGCTAAGCAGAAGAGAATGGATGGATGGATGGATGGATGGATGGATGGATGGAGATTAGCGTGTTGTGTCAGAGATAAATCAGTATCAAAAGTAGGTTCTGGACATTCAATCAAGCTGAAGATGCCAATGTACCCAGGTGATCTTTAATTTGTTGGCGCTTATTCCCAGGAACATGTATTATTGAAGTTTTATTTGGCCATTTTTATGTTTTGAACCAGATTTTAACAATTCAATATTGGGCTTCAGCCTCCCTGTGACTAGTGCCAAGTCACTATTCGGATTATTCTGGCTCACCTAAATGTCAGATTCCTCTCTGCAAATACTCCATGACATGTTGTATCAAACTGGGTAGGTGTTTTGTGAACCTTGCTTACTGTATCCAAGCAAAATAAAAGTTATCTAACAGCAACATTGCTTCAACAAGCCATACATCAAACATAGAGTCAACAAGGATAGCAGAACTGGAAACAAATTGTCAAATTAGAAGTGGGTCATCTGATTAGTGCAGAAAAAAGCACGAAGAAAACTAGAAATGAATAATAAATCTCATAGAAAGACTGAAGTCACCTTAACCTGCGACCCCGTGTCCTTCTGTTTGATGATTCCTCTGATTTAACTCGGGAACACATAGGCCTGGCACTAACTGACCTGTTACGCTCACAGTGGGCAGTTTCTAGTACTGTAAAGCATTTTTTAAAACAAAGAATCAGGAGTAAAAGTGGGTCATATGCCTGATTGAATGAATGTCTTTTTGAGCAGAGAGCTAGAGCAGAATTGGGTTTTAATGAGCTTCTGTTTTGCGTCACATCGCTTTTATACAACGGGGATCCAGCACTGGCGGCTAGAATCTAAATATCCTGAAGGTGAACAAGCATCCTGTAAGAAGTGACCATTAAACACATTTTTGTGTAGTTTTAGCTTTACGTCTCCAAAGTAACCTATTATTTTTGACTTTATGTTGGCACGGTCCGACACCAAGTCCAAGTGGGCCATGTTAGGAATGCTGTCAAGCTGAAGGAGTCCCATTGGGTCATTACGGCCTGTGGCCCTCCAGAGGCAGCTGATGCGGTGGTGCAGGCGGGATGTGAAGAAGCAATATTTTATATAGCGGTGAGGCAATGGCGTAAGCTTCAAGGAGATTCTGATCCACCAGGCACTTTGATATGGGCTGTTAGCAGAGGTGTGGACTCAAGTCACATGACTTGGACTTGAGTCAGATTCGAGTCATTATTTTAATGACTTCTGACTTGACTTGATAAGATCTATAAAAACTTACGACTTGACTTGGACTTGAACGCCAATGACTTGCAACTTGAATCGACTTGCATTTGTTGACTTGATGATGACTTGAGCATATTTAATACTTTAGCACAAAAGTGGCACGACATGAACAAAAATCATAGATCATTCTTCGTTCTGGGTTTGATGTTCTGCTAAATGCAGCAGCACTTTGTTTATGATCAGTTTCAGTTGCACTTTCTGCTAGTTTGAGCAAATAAATGAAGTTTTAAGAAGCGTTATTTCTGGAATTTATTTATTATCATTGTCATTAAATTGAAGTTGGACAGATGACTTGATTATGACTTGAAAATTCAAAGTTAAGGACTTGGACTTGACTTGGACTTCCACATAATTGATTTTGGACTCGACTTGGACTTGGTTGTCTTTAACTTGGACTTGACTCGAGACTTGACTGGAAAGAATTGAGACTTACTTGTGACTTGCAAAGCAGTGACTTGGTGGACTTGACTCGAGACTTGACTGGAAATAATTGTGACTTACTTGTGACTTGCAAAGCAGTGACTTGGTGGACTTGACTCGAGACTTGACTGGAAAGAATTGAGACTTACTTGTGACTTGCAAAGCAGTGACTTGGTCACACCTCTGGCTGTTAGGTCCCTGTCTGATCCGGGCCAGAACTTTGTACGCATTTCTGGCAGTAAGTCGGTCTTGTTCCAGGTGAGAGTTGGGCTCCACCAAGGCAGTCCTTTGTCACCGATTCTGTTCATAGCATGTATGGACAGGATTTCTAGGTAAAGCCAAGGTGTTGACGGATCCGTTTTGGTGGCCTAAGGATCAGTGACAACTTTTTGGAGACGATGTGGTCCTGTTGGCATCGTCAGACAGTGATCTCCCAACTTTTGGGCTGGGATGAGAATTAGCTCCTCTAAATTTTAGACCATGGTCTTAAGTCTTTACAGTAAGTATACAAAATTATGTATAAAACTACAGCCTAGAGGCTATTTTATGCAATGTCAGAAATGCAGAACTGTGGCAGTAATACAGAAAATTAATACTTTCAATTCAACTTTGTTTTTCACCTTATTAGTCATTTTCATTCCTACTCATTGTCACCATTTTACACTTATTTTTTGAATATCTGATTAATAGAGCTCAGTTACATCAGATTCTAGCTGAACTCTTGGTCCTAGTGCTCAATATTCAATACAGCGTAATATTGTCTTTGGACAGTAAAAAGTGCATTTTACAAAAATTGACTTTGGAAAAAGTGTGTGTGTGGGTGGGGGGTGGGGACATGTCTCCACTTTAAATGCTTCTTTTTCATCCTTTTTTTTATCTTTCAAACTCATGCAATTAGTAAATACTTTGAATTACTTAGACTGAGAAAACAGGGAAATAAAGACTTCTGCAAAGTGTTGAGTATTCAAACTATAGTACAGAGTTTATTTGGACTTGATTGACACAGTGGGTTTGGCTTTCACATGCACTCAGCACTCTGCTGTACATCACATTAA